TTGTGGTTTTCATGGAGAGGTTCATTTATGTCAAGAGTTGTACATTTATGTGCCAATGGTTTCCAAGTCCATGTCTCTAGCCTACTCCTCTCTTGAGCTGCAAACCAAGTCTTCACCTGCCTTCTGTGGCAGGCCTAGCATAGGTATTTAATAAACATTTGTAGAACATACGACTGTTTAGAATCCAACCCAGCATCTCTTTCCCTCCTTGAACCAGCCTGTCCTCTCTATTCTCTTTTTGAAATGGCAACACAGTGTCCGAACTTGACTGTCTTTGACTCATTCTGTTTTACACTTGATATTTACTCCATAATTAGCAGTTTCTATCCATGTTTTGGAAAAGGACTGACTTTGTTGCACTACCCCCATCCACCAAACCTGCTTTGATTGCATTTCAGTCAGGCTTCTAATTTAGAACTAATCACAGTGCAGTGTAATTACAAGTTCATGTTTTTGTTTCTTCCTCTCTGTCCCCCAAGTTTATAGGCATATAATAAATATTTGTTCTAAACTGCTTTATTATTTTTTCTCAAGTTTGTATTGAGTAGCTGATGTTACATGTATTGATGCACTTCATAGTTTATTCATTTTAATAATATGTTATTTAGCTTCCATGTCTTCGTATGTTTTTCAGTGTTCTTGTGATTTGTTTCTAGTTTCATAGCATTGTGGTCATAGAAGATGCTTGATATGATTTCAGTCGTAAATTTATTGAGACTTTTTTTGTGTCCTAACATGTGGTCTGTCTTCGGAAATGTTCCACATGCACTTGAAAAGTATGTATATTCTGCTGCTTTGGGGTGAAATGCTCTAAGAATATCAATTAAAAACATTTGATCCAGTGTACTGTTGGGTATCAAACTTATTTTCACCAGGGGCCACATCAGCCTTGCAGTTGCCTTCAAAGGGCCGAATGTAATTTTAGGACTGTATAAATGTAACTACTCCTTAACAGTTAAATAAGAGCTCCGCACTGCCACCGGGTAGAAACAAGGTGCTGGGCTGGATAAAATAGGGTGGAGGGCTGGATTCAGCCAACGGGCCTTGTGTTTGCCACTTGTGGTTTAAGGCCACTGTCTCCTAGTTGATTTTTCTGTCTGGAAGATCTAGCCATTGAGGTCAAGGGAGTGTTAAAATTCCCCCCTAGTATGACTGCCTGTCTATTGATCTCTCCCTTTTTGTCCATCAAGATTTGCTTTACATATTGAGGTGCTCCTATGTTGAGTATGTAAATGTTTACTAGGATTATATCCTCTTATTGGATTTTTCTCTTTACCATTATGTAGTATTCTTTGTTTCTTACTATAGCCTTGGTTTTGATGTGTTTTGTTGGATATGAGGATTGCTACCCCAGCTTTTTTTCCCCTTCCATTTGCATGAAATATCTTTTTCTATCTCTTTACTTTTAGTTTGTGTATATCTTTGATTTGAGGTGGGGCTCTTGTAGACAGCATATATATGGGTCTTGTTTTCTTATCCATTCAGCTACTCTATGTCTTTTGGTTGGAGCATTGAAGCCATTTACATTTAAGGTGATTATTGAAAGATATGTATTTAGTGCCATTTTATTGTTAGGTTATTTTGCTCTGCTTCTTCTTCTCCTTCTTTCTTTTCCCTTCTAGCAAGCCCTTTAACATTGGTTGCATGCAGCACTGGTTTGGTGCTAACAGCTTTTTCTTGTCTGGAAAGCTCCTTATTTCCCCTTTGATTCTAAATGGTAGCCTTGCTGGGTAGCCTTGGTTGTAGGTCCTTGCTTTTCACCACCTTGAATATTTCGTGCCACTCCCTTCTGGCCTGAAAGGTCTCTGTTAAGAAATTCGATGACAGTCTAGTTGGTGCCTCCTTGTATGTAACTACCTGTTTTTCTCTTGCAGCTTTTAGGCTTCTCTTTTTGTCTTTAAGCCTTGCCATTTTAATTTTGATTGTATCTTCCTGTAGGCCTCTTTGGGTCCAACTTATTTAGGACTCTCTCAGCTTCCTGAACTTGTGTGTCTTTTTCCTTCACCAGATTAGGGAAGTTTTTAGTCATTATTTTTTCCAAGTAGGTTCTCAGTCCCTCACTGACTCTCTTTTCCTTCTGATATTCCCATGATGTGTATGTTGGTACACTTCAGGTTTCTCAAGTGTACCAATCAAAGGTTTCTTAAGGTCGTCTCATTTTTAAAAAAATTCTTTTTTTTCTTTTTGCTGCTCAGCTTGGGTGTTTTTTTCCACCTTATTGTCCAAATCACTGATCAGTCCTCTTCTTCATCTACTGTTTATTCCTTCCAGTGTATTATTTATTTTAGATACTACATTTTTATTTCTGACTGATCCTTTTTAATGGTTTCTGTGTTTTTTCATGCTGTTGAATATCCTTATAATCATTACTCTAAACTCCCTATCTGATAAATTGCTTGCCTCCATTTCATCTGGTTTGTCTTCTGGAGAATTCTCTTATTCTTTCATTTGGGGTCTGTTTCTTTGTCTTTTCATTTTGGCTGCTTCTTTGTATTTGTTTCTATTTATAAGGTAGATCTGCAAAGACTCTGGTTTAGACCTATGTCTGATGCTGCCTGTGACTGGCCCCTGATGACCTGTTTGAAGCTATAAGCAATCCACAGCTCGTGGCTCCCGCTGGGCCCGTTTGTGTGCAGAAAGAACAAGGCTGCTCACCAAGTCTGGCTTTTACTGGCACTGGGCCTGTGGGAGTGTCAGCTGAAGTCTCAGATCTGCTTCTGCCTGCAGGCTATCTGATAGGTTTTATCAGTGAATATCTTCCAGCTACACTCCTGACTGGCAGGTCCTAAGCACCACAGGGTGGGACAAGAATGATTCTTGTGGGCAGCACTATTGCTTCCCCTCAGGCTAAGGACACTTGGAGAGGAGTGCTCTGTCTGAGAAAGATGGCTCCTGCAGTGTGGGGAATGACTCAGCACAGGGATCCTGGTGACTGTTCCTTCAGTTCTCTCCCCAGAGCCACCAGCCCCAAACTCTGCTCATGTGTCTCCAGTCTACTCTGCTCTCCCTCTGCTGGAGCCCACGGTAGGTGGCTGCAAACAGAGTTTTGTGCATTGGCCCTTGAAGAGGCTCTCTGCATCTCCAGCTGTCTCTCGCTGTTGGATAGAAACCTTGCTGCTTTTCAAAGCCAGAATTTATTTGGTTCTTTTCCCAGTCCTGGTACTGCAGGCCAGGGAGGCCAGCTTGGGGCTTAGATGCCACACTTCTCAGGGTGGACCACCCTGGCCACTGAAATATCCCTCCCATGGCCAGGGTGCCTGTGGAAGCCCAGCCAACCCTCTTACACCTCCTCTACATTTTCTACTAGTTATGTTGTGTTGATGTGGCTTCTTCTTTCTTCCCATGGTTATAAGGCTTCTTTCCAGCTAGTGTTCAGTTGGTTATTCAGGATGATTTTTCTTTTTTTTTGTCCTTCAAAATATACTTTATTTTTCCTTTTTAAATTTTTATTTTAATTGTTGTTCAAGTACAGTTTTCTTTTACTCCCATCCCAGCTGCCCCCCCCAACCCTCCTCACCTCCCTCCCGTTTCCACTCCCTCCTAGTTTTTGCCCATGTGTCTTTTATACCTATTCCTGTAAACCTTTCCCCTTTTCCCCTGAAATTCCCTTCCCTCTCCCCTCTGGTCACTGGATGATTTTTCTATAATTTCGTTTAATTCCAGTTTGGTTCTGGGAGGAGGTTTGTGAAGCTTCCACCTACTCTTCCGCCATCTTGGGTCCCTCTCCAGATTTGGGTTTATGCATCCTAAAACATATGCTAATAGAGCATTTTTGAACTCTGCTAATGAAAATAAATCCCAAGATTTGCGTGATAGACAGATAATTCGCAGAAGTGAGTTTTTTTTTAACAATGTTTTTAAAGATTTTATTTTATTTTTAGAAAGGGAAGGGAGGAAGAAAGAGAGAGAGAGAAACATCAATGTGCGGTTGCTGGGGATCATGGCCTGCAGCCCAGGCATGTACCCTGACTGGGAATTGAACCTGCGACACTTTGATTCACAGCCCGCGCTCAATCCACTGAGCTATGCCAGCCAGGGAGAAGTGGTTTTTTTTAATCCTCTAAAACCTGAGGGGGCTGGATTGGGAGTAAAAGGGAGAAAACTGTACTTGAACAATGATTAAAATGAAAAAAAAAAAAAAAGAAAACATGGGGTAAGCTCCTTGACATTGGTCTTGGTGATTTAAAATAAATAAATAAATAAATAAATAAATAAATAAATAAATAAATAAATAAAACCTGACCATACACAAAAGATTAAATGGTTTACAGAGTGGATAGCAGAAATATCTTTAAGTCATAAATAGTTCTTGGTACATCAAATGATAGAATGATATCATATATGATTATAATATGGTCAGTCGTATATATGTAGCCAATACAGAAATAGGGAAGGCTTTATTTTCTTTGATTTGTCGAGGGAGTCATTAATGTTTTAAAATCAGAATGTCTCTTGTTATGCTAAACCATTTTCTTTTAATGCTATAATATCTTAGTTAGAAAAAGCAGAAAACAAAGCTTTTTCCTTTTCTTTTTTATTTATTTCCTTTTCTTTCTTTCTTTATTTTAGATAGAGGAAGGGGGAGAAAGAAAAAAAGCATCAATTTGTTGATCTACTTATTTATGCATTCAGTGGTTGCTTCTTGTACGTGTCCTACCTGAGGATTGAACCCATAACCTTGGCGATTGGGACAATGCTCTAACCACCTGAGCTTGCCAGCCAGCGTCACAGCTTTTTCATTTGGTCAGATTCTTCAGATTATTTTGTTTTCACATAGGATAATTATCTTTTCTGCATTGGAGATTAAAAGGAGAATCCTGTGTTAAGAAGATACTTAAATACAATATTATGTGCCAGTGTGGTGGCTGATGTTTTGGATCTTCAGTATCATGCCTAGAATCTACTTTTTTTCTGAGTAATGCTGAGATTGACTGAAGAGCTGTTGAAAATGAATGCGTAGATGAACACTTATCTTCTCCCACTTTTTTGTGCCTTCGTAGGTACATGGACTATATCGCACGACGGGTGCTAGTTTTGAGAAGGCCCAACAAGAGTTCGCAACAGGTGTGATGTCCAACAAAACTGTCCAGACCGCAGCTGCAAACGCAGCTTCCACTGCAGCAACTAGTGCAGCTCAGAATGCTTTCAAGGGTAACCAAATTTAGAGAATCTTCAAACAATACACTGTTACCTTTTGATGGTACTTTTTTCTCTAGTTACTGTATTCTATAAATATTTTTATGTTTAAAACACACAATACACACAGCATGTATATCTCTTATTCACTTGTGCATGGGTGAAAACCAGAAAAACATCCTCGTCTTATTATTTACCTAACAGTTTCTTAAGATTTTAGTGCCCCTTGCAGAAAAACATATTACCTGCTAAATAAATATTCTCCATATTTTTTGGAGGATGAAGGTTCAGCAGATTATTTCAGTGGTAAGACACTGAAATTAACATGGTAGTTATTATTAAAAATGCATTTAGTACTAGCTGCAGTCATTCTTTCAAGAATCTTATACTTAAGGGTTGCACATTGGAGCAGTAAATTGTTGCTTCATTTCTCTTTCCTTATTTATATTGAAAAAAATAGACCATCAGAGACTTATGGATTTTTAAATTGGCTTGCTTTTTAGCAGTTTCAGTCACCAGTGAAGAGCCTATGTGCATTCGTAGTAGATAATGTAAATTTTATCTTTTTCTTTTCTTTTTTTAGAGTAGTTGATACTTTGATATCAATCTCGGATCTTGCATGGGCACCACGTTTCTTAAATTAAAAGAATTAGTATTTTGGGTTCTGCACTGCTTATGGTTGTAGGATTGGGAAGTTGTAGAATTATAGAAATGATTTTCTATAATAATTTCTTTTAAATAAAAGTTTACTGGGGTGTAATGAGAATATAAAATGCAGTGTATTACCCAAAAGAAAAGGTAGAAAATTGATGGAATAGAATGTAATGATGAGAATTCCTTTTTTAAAAAAAATTTTCAGTATTCATATCATAGTAAAATATTACTGTATGGAAACTTTGGTATATTCTTGTGGCTACCCTTTTTAATTGAACTGAGATTGTATTTGGCAGCTCTTTTTTGGGGTGTGTGTGTAATTTTTAACAGAGGTGTTAAAGTCTAGCCTAACTCCTTGTCCATAAAGAACGTACAGTATTTAAGGATTTTTTTTTAGCCTCTCCTATCTAGTGGCATTAAAAATAAAAAGACCCTCGCATACACATACTTGAATCCCTAATGTATCTCGGTCTTTCAATTTTTGAGACTAACTATATTAAAAAAATTTAGTAGTAGAAAAAATAAAACATTTAACTTGCACCAAGCAAGAAAATACACAGTTGAATGCATTAATTATGAATGTAATCACTTTAAAATTGTTATTGTGTAGCACAGGGGTTCATTCTCAGAGTATGCTTTTGGGTTGAAAGTTTGAATCATGTTTAATACTGATTAAGAGACCCAAGACATTTGTAAAGTAGTGATACTGTGTTTTTAAAGTCATTAGCTAATTTAAGATTACAGAATACTAGGCAGTGATTTATTCAATTTGATTTTAAGTAAGGATCATTTATTGGATTATATTATTTGAGACTGCACATCCTTTTTAAAAAAAAGATCGGATGGACACAAATGGTTAAATCCCTTTTTCTCCCCTCCCTAACTCTGGGCCGGAATGGTGAGTTCTCACTGTTTATGAAGAGGCTTTGCGTGGCATTGCTGCTGGGTGACTCAGATCCATCCAGGTGGTGTTTACATTGGATTTAGTTAGGACTTGACTGAAGTAATATACTTGGAATATATTTCTTTTATTTTGATGAAAATAGGGCTCAGAGTATGACTTTAAAGCTGTTTATGAGTATTTCTCATCAGCGATAATCTCCACCTACTTTCTCAACCAAATAAGCCAGTTCAAGAATTACAGTTCAGAATCTGTAATCTTATTGAAAATGTTTCATCTGTGTGCTTTAATTAAGTGTGGATTTTACAGACATTAAAAACATTAACCACAAAATACAGCAAGAACACTATGTCCATTATTAATTTATATCTCAAATCCAGTACAACTAAAAGATGTAGTGTAGAGACTTTTGGAAAATGCTGAGATACTGTTCTTCAGCATCAGAAGTGTCTGTACCTGTTCTGTAGAAACCCCATTGTTAAATAGCAGAGAGTGATTACAACCAACAGTAGCTTTTTTGTGTGGACGGCGAACACATTGTTATAAATTCAGTTGTTTGGATTAATAAAAGCTTATAAGAGAATTGTTTTTTAAAAACATAAATGTGCATTAAAATGATGGCAATGCTCACAGTTTGATAACGTGTAGGGGGTTTAAATTCTTATATTTTCTACTCCCTTAACAATAATTAGTAAACAGTCATGTTTTGACTCAGCAAAAGATAGGCATTTGTTGAAGTGTTTTATATTTATTATCAACATTACCCAGTATCAGAATCATGAAATGGTCTTCACAGGGTAAGCAAGCACCCAGGTCATTTTTTAGTTTGCAATATTTACTTGTGGCTGTTTTACTTAAAACTGAAGTTTGAACACTGGAAAATCATGGCTCAGTGACGTGTGATTTGGGACTTGGATTATTTATCTAGGGATGTGTGTGTGTCTTGTCAGGGAGCAGTACTGCGCTGCCATCATGGTGACTGTCGCAGGTCGGCACAAATGCCCTCCATCTGTCCCTCTACTGTTGCATGTTTTCGGTGGTTTGGAAGTTTTGTATATTTATTGTATTAACACAGAGTGTTATAAAATAAAATGCTGTTTAGTGGATATTTGTATAATTTTAAATACTTTATTAGCATGTCAGAGGCAGAAATTGTGCTGATGGTTTAATGTATATAGAAATTCCACATTTGAATTTTACAAAATAAGCTGTATAATTCTATCATGTGCTAAAGAAAATAAACATAAAAGATTAGGTAAAACTCTCAGCAATATAAAATGACAGTGTTTCTGTTGCATTAGACCTTTGTAGGTAGTGAAACATGAGCTTCACTCATATTAAATATTTTGACCACTTTAAGGTCAAAATACACAGACTGTCTAGAAACTCAAAGTGAAAAAATGTGTTTTGTGGCTGAGATTTTTCCCAGTGGGTTCAAACGTATGCCTCTGCACCAGTGTTGCGTTGATTCGAGGGAGCCCGTGTTCTGTTCCTGACCTCGTTACCTATTGCTGTTTTATGTGCTGATGGTAGTACCTGTGTGCTTTTTTACTTGGTTATTTAAAGAGGATGTTAAAATGTAATATAAAATTATGTTAATGGTGAATCTTATTTTGAGAAATATGTGTTCAGTTAAAATAGGAACAGCATTTTCAATTTTCTGGGTGTCAGCTAAAAAAATGAGTTTGGATTGTCATTGGATATGTATCTCCCTCATGTGGAGATGATGTATGGTTTGCATTTTAGAGAGAATTTATGTTAAATTTTTTAGTTGTTTCTGTAAATTGTTTGTAGTCGCATAATGCTTTTACAGTTATTGCAATATCTTTTTCTGAAAACACTAACATTATTAGCATTTAATTTTATCCTTATTGGTAAAATCTGTGTTTAGACTGTTAATGTACAGAACTTGTTATCATTCTACATACATTTTCCCATTGGAATTACCATTACTGTCAAATGTCATTTCACTGTATCTCCTTCCGTTTTTTCCTTAAGGAATGAGTTTAGAGGAATTTGTTGATTTCATGTGATTAAGACCTTTAGGGGTGAAATAAAAGTGGTTAATGTAAAAATAATTGAAGATGGTTAAAAAATAAAAAATACCTTATTTGATAGATTTTGAAGTACCATGGTATACATTTATTTAGAGTAGAATAATATGTTTTAAAACATTAGAGTTGTATTAAGTGCTTACTGAACAATTGTATCTCAATGGGTAAATTGAGTAAATCTCGATGGGGAACGTGAAGTATTTCCATTAGAGAATTAGGGTACATTTTACAAAAACAGCATGCTTTTTGTATTGATTGATATTTTAAACATTATTTTATGGTTTTATCACAGAGCTAGAAAGAAATCTGTAGAAATTTTCTAAGCCAGGCATTGCCACTATTTTGTCCTAGGTACAGATATCCTTAATTTAAAGATTCTAGGAAAATAGGGAAAGATTCTTCTCTAGAGGATTCCTTCCATATTTACAATTTAACTTTCTGGGTTTAGGACAAAACTTACAACATGTAAAATTTTCTTTAGCACTCTTCATGTTTCAAATGGCAAGGGATATATATGGGAGCCATCATGTAGCAGTGAACTGAGTGCTAAATTTTATGTTTATCCAAATCTTTGATTTGTTTTTTAGCTCATATCTTTGTGGGCTTGGCATGGCTGATGATGGTGTAGCTAAAAACATCTTGCCACTAAAATCCATTTTATCTTTTCTCTAATAGAGAGGAGAAAAGATAAGCCTGTTCCACCTAGTAATGTTTCATATACTTGTATAAGATTACTCTATTATCTTCTTTACATTTAAACAGTTCTCATTTGTAGAATAATAATATGCAAATTTTATTTTTTTAAACACTTAGATATAACCCCAGAATTCTCCAGAGCTTTTAAAATATTCTGTGGGCCCGGGATTCTCAAGATAAATCGTGGTTGAGGTAGTTGTTACTGTTGGCAATTTTTATAATTCTTCAGGTGTTTTGGGGCTAGGAAAAAAAGACACCAAAACTCACTGTCTCTTATCTGGTGGCCACAGTGGTTCCTGCAGGGATGTAACCACTTCAATAAAAACTGAGTTCACTGTGCAGACCCCTTTCTCAAAGGATTTTTTTCTAGTAGGAAAGTAATATATACCTGTTGAACAATTGAGGAGTATAGAAATTTATAAATGAGAAAATAAAAATAATATGTAATTTGTCATCTAGGGATATCGCTGCTAATGTTTTACTGGATTTTTTTTCCATTCTTTTTCTCTGTGTACATATGTTATAGAGTTAAGGGATATAAACAATGTGGATTTTTAAAATCTTATTTTCCTTAGCATTATATCATAATCACCTGATAGTTTAACTTTTAAAATTAACTTCTAATTCATAAAATTAACACACATCAGTCTAAATTGTAGGAAATAGTTGTAAGCAAAAGATGATAAAGTTGTTTATAATTTTATACCCATAAATAACTATTATTAATATTTGGTGTATATCTTTCTATTAATTTTTTAGGAACACAACTTTTTTCCCCTAAAATTAAAAAAAAAAAAGATTTCCCTCTATATTCTTGTAATAGATTCTTTTAGGGACATTTACCCAGCTCTCACAAGCCCATTTCTTTTGGGGTCCCTGAAGACCACACTGGTGCAAGGATGTCACATCCTGCCACGGTGGACTCGTACTTGGCTCATTAATTTTTTTCCTTGCTAGCTCTGTCCAGAGCTCTATTGTTCCAGAGTATGGGGTATCCATGTTCTACCATGAGGAAGGAGTCTCCAGAAAGCTGAAGAGTGAAGCCGATATGCAAGGACATGTGGGGTGATGGAAGGACTTAGAAAAGATACTAATAGCTTTCCCTTTCCTGTATGCGGCCTGGCTGCTCACCCATGCTTCGTCCCATTATCCCAGTAATGTTCTTACTCTGTTTTCTCCCCGAGCTACCTTGAGTTGGTTTCCTGTTTCTTTCAGCTGGAGAATTTTAACAGGCACAAAGGTTTGTAATCTTTTAAAATTATGATGTAATATATGTTGGAATTTTTTTCGTATTGCTGAATGTATTTCTATAACATTTAATAGCTGTGTAACTACCTTTATTTGGGTGTACCATAAATTATTTTTTGAAGTCCTGTTATTCCTTCAGGCTTTGCTTTTTAATGTATAAATAATTTATCAAGGAATACACTGTTGCTAAATTTGGGGACCCAGGCTTTTTTTTTTCCTTAAGACAAATTGCTGGGTCAAAGCATAAGTGCACTTTTGAAGACCTTTGATGTGCATTGCCAAATTGCTCTCCAGAAAATTCTATCAATTTATGCCTCCATAAGCAGTGTACGTAAGGGCCGCTTTACTTCTACCAACCTTGGATGCCCCTTTTCTAAGAAGTCTTTGCCACCAATAGGCTTTGACAAATAATCAGAAGGTTTGTTTTTCTGAGCATTGTGGCTTTCCATAAATGTGCTCGTCCAGCACTACTTTTTTTTTGTTTGTTTGCTTTGCTTTGCTTTGGTCTTGCTAACCAGGAGTGAACATGTGTCCTGCATCCACAGAGAAATCATCTACTTCCTGAAAGCATGAAGCTAAAGAAGACTCTAGAACAGGATGGAAAAAGAAACGGCAGCCTTAGGTAGCCAATCCATTGAGCCTCTCTAGGTAAAATTAGATTGGTTTTAACAACAGGTTTTGTTATTCTTCACAATTTTTTAGAACAACTCTTAATTTTTGAGATCAATTCTAAATGATACTCCAGGCAGACATAAGACTTTCTTCTAATAACTTTGACTTAATGAGGACTTACTGTATATCAGAGACTATGCCAAATGCTTTACTTACTGCACTTTACTCCTCGCCCCAGACCTGTGATGTAATATCCATTATCGGCCCCATTTTGATAGAGGAGTAGGAATTATCCCAGTCACCATTCAGTGAGAGAACAGTGTCATGGAGCGGCACAGCCAGTCTCTCCAGGGAGAGGCAGCTAGACCCGAATGTCTCCGTGAGGCTGCTTCTGCCATATGGTGCCACCTCTCTCTGATTCTGTGTCTTTCCACCCTTCCACATTTCTAGTAATTCATATCCATCTTTTAGGGACATTGAATCCTAGGGGAAAAAATCAGCCAACCAACAAAATTACAGCATGTATTTTTGATGTCGCCAGACCAAGGCCTAGCTCCACACTGGGGGTGAGTACCTGCTGCCTGCTCTTCAGCAGTTTCAGTTACTCAGTGGTCTTCCGCTTTTATGTGTGTGTTTGGAGAAACTTTAAAGACAAGTTCTTACTTACTTGTTAGTTTAACCATGAAGAAAATATGTCTCTTATATAATAGCTGCCTCTCTTAGATGAGAGATTATTTATAACAAGAAATAATAAAAACTGTCAAACTGCTACTTGTTTTGCCACTGTCATACACCCAGTGGATTTTTAGTGTCTGTCTTCAGGATTGAGTAAATTGAGACACATGGTGTCATCTTAAAGTATGAAAAATTACCAGGTTTTTCTCTGAGAGGAAGAAGGAGCAGTGTTTTCATCAGTTGTCATCTGAAGGTGTCACCTTTTTGGAATTGTACTTGGAAGTTATTTTAACAGTTTACTACACAAAGATGTTGGCTTCCCCAGGGGTTTGTAGTATGGGCCTCCTTCTCATCCTCTGCATTCTATGTAGAAGGAAATCACAGCCGTTTGAGAATGTAGACTTTGGTGTCAAACCTGTATTTGAGCCTTGGCTTTTTAACCTCAGGCAAATTACTTAATTTTAGTTAGTTTACTTAGTGACAGTTAATTTATCTATAAAATGAGGATAATAGTCTCATCTTACAGGGCTTTGATGAATAAATGAATTAGATGAAGTGCTTGGCGTGGTACTCGCACACAGAATGTGCACAATAATTAAAACCTCTTATTGTCTGTCCATGCATGTTGATGACTCTCAGATCTCTGTCTCCAGACTGGTCTTCTCTCCACTGTATGTTTCTAGGTGCACACAGGACTTCTCCATTGTCAGCCCAAGCTGAACCTTCCCACCTTTACTGTCTCCTCTTCTCTTGGATTCCTGATCTGTGCCCAAACGAAATACCTGGGAGACATCCTGGACTCTTTGTTCCCTTACCCCTTCTAATCAGTTTCCAAACCGTCCATTCCTTCTCCCTAACATTTGTCTAATTGATCTCACTGTCTTTGCTATCAACTGCCTTAACTCAGGCTTTCTTGAGAATAGATTATAGTGGTTTCCCCCAAACATATGCATTTGGTGCACTGCTTGCCTGCAGGTGTTATATTTTTGAGGTTATTTGACTATAAAAAACTAAGGAGCTGCTAATATTTACGGTTTTCATTGACTTTTCTTTTCCCATGTGGTTTTGTTACTTCCTTTTATTTATGCTTTTATCTACATCCTATGTACCTAAGCAAAGTGAAAGCAGTTCACATCTTAAAGACTTGCAGAACTCTCAGGGTGTGGAGAATAGTAGTAAGGAGAACAGGAAGATGGCCCCAGCATGACTAAGCAGCTGACAGGGGTTATGGAACAGACAGTTACTGGTCTTTGCTGCTTTGAAGAGTATGCTAAAAGTTTTCTTTGATGCCCTTATTTACTGTTTGAGTTGAAAGAGGTACTTGAATTGTTGGAAATCTACTGAAATAATCCACTTAAAGGAAATGTCAAGCATAGTCAGGACTGTTCTTAAGTAGTTTTATGTTAAGCAAGGATTTTAAGGAGGGCTAAGAATTAAGTCGAATGCAGTGTGTTCCGGGAAGATCGTCATGGAAAGCTCATCCAGTGACACTGAGGATGAAGTGGTTCCCCAGCTCTGCTGAAATCTAAAGCCAGGGTCCTTTCTTTTGTGGATCAGCTCTTTGGAAAGATGTAGTAAGAGATGCAAAGGCAACCGAAAATTTCCAATTTTGCTCGGATTATTTAGATCGTAATTGCTTGGAAAAATTTTTTTCATGAGTAATTTGGATAATTTTGTCAGTTTAATTTTGGTTTCTTTTAGAAACCTGGAAGTTGTCAGGCATGTGTAGAAACCAAAGCATAAATGTAGTTTCAGCTGTCAGAGGCCCTAGTTCAGGAAAAGAAATAACCATTTTCTTTATTCTATTGGATAAATGCTTCATGAGATATTATGGAGAATTGAGTAGGAGTTTACGAGAAGGGCTTCTGTGTCATCTTTGGGAATTCTGTGTCTCGATGGGGTTTGTTGTAGTCAGACTACCTTTAGGAAATGTGGATGTAGAACTGCTCCATGTTGGGCTTTTAATTTTGGTGTTTTTGTTTGGAATAGGAGAATGTGACCTACAGTAGACTTTTTTCTTTATTTTTATACATTATTTCTTTTTAAAAAAGCCATTTTAATGCTTTGAAGCACTTTCATAGTTCTTAATTTTACTTTATTTTTTAAATACATTTTTTCACATGGCCATTTGTCACCCCATCCCCTCTTCTACCTTCATCCCCAGCCCCCAAATCACCAGTGTTGTCTGTTGTCATGACTTGATTTTACTTTAAAATTAAGATACTTCTGTTGACAGGGTTTTTTCTTTTTATATTTAACTACACTGACTCCTCCAAGGAAGAAATTGCATGCCCTACCTCGAAGTTAAAGCTAACCTAAGGTACGGATGTACATGTTATCAATGAATGGAATAGTTAAAATACCTGAGTATCTTTTTCCCTATCATCAATATTACATAAGTTGGTGTTTAATATAAAATTTGACTGATAGCTGTTTTCTTGATCAAATTTTACATATCATATTTAAATAAATATACTTAGATTTGAAAGAATCAGAATGAGTTTGCAAAATCTGGTTTAATTCAGATCTGGGGAGAGGAGGGGAGCACGCTGTGAAAATACATATGCACAGGAACCTAATCAATGCTAGACAAACAATGTATTAATTAGTTTACAATGTAATAGGATAACCACAAATTAGGAGGCTCAAATTGAGTCCATCAGCGGTAAATACAATATTATATTTGGCTCAAGTGGCTGTTGAATATCAAGTGGTGCCGAGTTCCTCCAGAGCACCTAATGACCCCCTCAGCCTCGGAAGGAGTTTCACCACAGTCTCAGAAGAAATCCCAGTCGTGCCTTTAACTCTTTTGGCCCTTGGGAGTCATTGCTGCCCAAATCAAATGCAGGCCAGGGATTTCCAGTGGCCACATGTTATTGCACAGAGAGGTCTGTTCTAAGCCAGACTCTTATGGCTAAAAAGTTGTGAGATCAGCCCTTAAACAGTGGTGTAGCATTAACAGTCATCAAAGCATGCTAAGAAATAGCTCCTTAGTGATTATGTACCAGCTACTAGCTATCACACTAACAGAAAAAGGCAATAAGGGCAGCTTCACATTTCACATGAAAGACTAGCATTAACTGGGCCTGGCTTGCCAGCTTAACCTTCACATAAACTGAGTGATTAATCTAGACCCAGAAAAAAGTGATTTCATACCAGTCTTTTCTTCACATAGGTTTGTGTAGCATTAAAATTGTTATGGTTTAAATACTAGGCCCTAAAGGCAGAAATGTTTAACTCTCCTTTGCCAAAACAGAAACAATCCCTGTTCTGACACCTGTCCAGTTTCCAAAAAAACAAAACATACATACACCTTTGTTATTGCACATCTTTCACACAGACTTGTGTATGTATAATACACATATATATTTTAAATATGCTACACATAAAAAGACTATGGCACTTTACATGTTTTAACAAAGATCATTACACCACAGATGTTTGAAATTATACAAAAACCCTTACACAATTAATGTAACATTGTTGAATTAGCACACAGGTTTAAAGAATCCACAGAATCCAAGGCAATCATTTCTGCCTTCTTGGAGTTGAGAAGCCCAGCTCATCACAAAACTTTAATAAGCACAAATGCAGGCAAAAATAAATAAGACTTTTCTGGTAGTTGTAATGGTCCAGGTATATTAGATTTTTAGACTGAGGTGATTAATAGAAGTTTATTAGAAAAATAGGTGTGGGTCAACAATCAGTCTAATTATTTTTAATACATTTCTTTCTAACATATTCCTCATACTCAGTGGTTTTTAATCAGCTCTGCAGTTTTGGTCTAGACCAGCATGGTTTCGGATGCTACATTCATCCCCACCAAAGCCTGGCTATTGGACTGAAGGTTTCAAAGGCCCAACATTACCTCTTTCTCTCTCTCCCATAAAGTCCATCTCTGTTATGCTTACTAAGTCAGTGTTTAAGTACTTCAGTGGTTTGGGGTTGTGTGTGCATGTGCTTTTCTGTGTTCTTTAGCACTCAGACTAATGAAGTAAACACTGTCAAGTGACTTTCTTCTGACCAAGAGAGGTGACATTTGCACTTCTGCCTTTTGTTATCAGCGTGGTGTAAGGGTGACACTACCACCTTAACCAAAGACCAGTCGGGCATATAGATGAGGGACTTGCTGAGAGGATCCTCTGGGCTTATGACAGCTTGTCTGTAAGGAGGGTGTAAAATTCGTGTTAGAAAAATAGGCTTTCTGTCTTGTACAGACAAAAAAATAGAGTGAACCTTCTGGCAATACATTTAAGAAAAAAATTGTTTTTATCACAATAAAAACACAATTTGTGATGAAATATTTTTTAATGAAAATTATCCCCGGGATTTGAAAAGTAGTTCCTGTGGTGGCATCAGGACTTGGTTAAAGCATCTAAACGCTCCATCAGGTAGAGGAGCCTGGCCCAGTGGCTGCCGTGAGTAACCTGCTTCCTTCTGTGAGGTGTCGGACAGGATTAATGCTTCCTGACCCCTCACCCTAGGCTGCTGTGTATTTACCCCTCCTCTTTTCAGACAAAGTCATTGGATTTACATTTTTCTTATTCTGAACTTTGGACTAAGAATGGTGAACTCATTAAGGCCTGGTTCCAAACCCCTACCTTTCCTGCCCTTAGCTCTTAATCTGTTAAGGCCTGGTTCCAAACCCTTACCTTTCCTGCCTTTAGCTCTTAATCTGTAAGAAAAGGCAGTTTCTGGTAATAGGCCAAAGGCCAGAATGGAGTAGAAGTTCAGTTCCATTCTGTCAGTACATAAAGCAATCAGTTTTTCTGCAGCCAATCATGGGTTTAGACTCATGCAGCTCTCAGAAATTCACTTTGGGTAAGGCTATAAAGTCTGAATCAGGGTTCTATTACTTGGTGGCACTCAGCACACAGTACCCTTCCTAGACAAGGTGTGTATTAAATTTTCCAAATGAAGCAAGCCCTCCAGTGAGCAGATTCATAAACCCAATGAGATCTAGTCCTTCCAGAAATCTGTCAGGTCCATTCTATTTGCTTAAGTTGCTGTGGAGTGTGTCTGTACCATTCTGCAGTTCTGACCTTAGCGTAGTAACAGACTAGGTTCTTTCTGATGACTTGGATCATTCCGAAGTAAATCTGAGGTGATGGCTAAGACCACCTTCCTGAATCAATGACACTGGTAATTTATAGAAACTAGATTAAAAGCGCCTGAACCCTTTTCTAACAGTGGTAGTTGACTTCTTTTTGTAAACAGGTATAGGCAGGTGCTACGACGAGCTTGGCCTAGCTCTCTCTCTGCATTAACTTTCTACTCTGTTTACCTGGGAATGAAGCCTTTGATGCAGCTCACCATTTGCAGTAACTTAAGGTTATTTCAGTCTGCTCTCAGGATCAACACCAGTAACTAGAAAAACTTTAGTCCCATGATTAGCTCCTTTTTTATGCACAGAATGACATTTTGCTGCTGTCAGAGTTGGAAATACAGCTGACTACAGTGTGGTTACCAAACAGTGGGAAAAGGTCTCCCTGCAAGTGCTGAGGTTCTGGCAAGTTCTCCCAGTGAACATCTGAATGAGCCACAGCCGGCTTGGAGAAGTCTGTCCCTGGAACAAGGAAACAGACTGAACTTTCCTTTGTCAGCCGGCACAGCCCCAACCCTGGGAGAGAATCATGTGACCTCTGGTGGGAGAGGAGCCTGGGCCAGTGCTGGTGCTAGCTTGGCTGCTGGGAAGCGGAATGAATTTGTCTCCACTAGAGGATTTTGTACTTTTATTCTTATGATCTTACAGGTCCTTATTCTTTAACCTTAGAATGACAGTTCAGTTGATTTACCTGACCCTGGAATTCAGCCTCACATAAATCAATCCCACAACAGGATTTCACTCTGATCCTGCTGGATCCCTTTGGTGAGCTAAGCAAGAGATCTTGCTGTGCCATCTGGCCCACATCCTATCCCCAGTAAGTGTGTCGTCTCTGACTAAGACAGCTTGAAAGAACCAGGAGGAAACAAACACCAAACCTCATTCTGAGGCAGAGATGCTTACAGGCCTGCAGGCTTGTGGCAGATGCACATCTCAGAACAGCCAGCAAATCTGGCCTACAGTCTTAAGATCTGATACTAGAGAAGTGCCGCTTTAAGGGTTTTGATCATTATCCTTCATTGAGCCTTGGGGGAGATGCAGTGTGACAGAATTGTCAGCTGCATGTCAGGGTTTATGTACTGTTTTCATGTTCCATCTCGTAATTTGCATGGTGGCCCTCGTGGGCAGTCACTCTGTTTAGCTAGATGTTGTCGCTCATCGGTCCATTTAAGGCTCGGGGCTATGGAATGTGACTTTGGTAGGTACTAAGGCTAGTTCTTCACTTGACTCAAATGACGAAACCAGAGGTGGACTGTTTCACAAGGTTGCACCAGGAGGAAAGTGGCATTTAATGTCTCTTTCAAATTAAAGGAGGCAGATAAGGTTTTTCCCCTCTTCAATTTCTTCCTGTACTTTGTCACTGGAGGTGGCAATTTCTGCTTGTGCAGAAAAGATGGCACAGATGAAGGTGAGGACTGTCCCACCGATGGCAGTATAAAAGGCCCAGCCCAGGGAGCAGTCTCCAGGTTTGTAGGCCGACGCATAGTGTCCACAGTAGACCACGGCCTTTGGGCAGCCCCAGCCAGCAGGGTAGAGGATCAAACCGAGGATAAGGAACAGGCCTGCAGGGCAGAAGAGGACAGATTTGTTACGATTGTTACTTCATTTGCCAGCTTTGGGCTATGCCATCCTTTCTGCAATAGCAAGTACTAGGGACTGTTTTATGCAATTAATCTGACCTGGTCAATAACCATCATCACATTATTAGAAATATTTTAAGCCTCTTTTATACATGTTGGAATGTGCACCCACTAATAATTTCTAGAACAGCAAATGAACTTGTTACTGTTTCTTCTCACAGGGCTCTTACCGAGGTGAGCATTTCCCTTCTGGTCTAAGGCGGAGGTTGGCAAACCAAGGCCAAGTAAGTGTGGCCTTGTTTACATAAATAAAGTTTTGTTGGAACACAGCTATGCCCATTCATTTATGGATTGCCTATGACTGCTTTTGTGCTGGAACAGCAGAGTGAGTAGTTGTTCCAGACCCTATGGCCTTAAATATTTGCTGTCTGGCCACTTGCGGAAAGTGTTTGACAACACCTGGTCTAAGGTAACTCACACAGAACCATTTGATGTCACCCTGGTTAAATGCAAGAGGCCAGATCTTAATCCGATGTCAGTGCTTTAAACAAGTCCACAGGAGTCTGTTTGATGGCATCTACCAACAAACAACTGCATGCTTTGGACAGAGATTTTATATTTCATGTACATTTAGAAAAAAACTGCAAACTTACCAGTAATTTTATTTATTTTCTTGGTCTGAATGCTATCAGGTGAACAGGTGAACTCAGCCTGGAGTAGACACTAAGAAGCTGTTTCCATTTTGCTGACCCCACCACCTTGTCATATGAAACGTCCATTTTTCTGTTCCTTACAGCTTTACTGCACACTGTATAATTGTAAGTTATTTTTCCTGCCAGCGGGGTTAAGAGCTACCCCAAGGCCAGGACCAAGGTGAGGTAAGTGTGGCACAAATGTAAAGGAACAGTTACTTTTAGATATTTGCCTTGTGCTTGTGGGAATCTGAGAATAAGTACATTGCCGGCCTCGCCTTGGCCTTGGCCCTGGCCCCCGCTAGCAGTCAGTCACACAGCAAAGCTGCTGGCAAGGAAGTCCGGAACCTGAAATAACAGAGGCGACTGAGGGCCCCCAAATCTTACCCAGTGAAACTTTCTTTGTAGAAAGGATGCTGCAAGAGCATGGCTTTCTTCTTTGTGGCAGGGGTGAAAAACGTTTTTTTCTTAAACATGACACCTACATATCAAGATTGCTGGTTTTTAACCCAGAAGACCTGTTCTTTAGACACCATGGAATAGCAACTCTATCCTCATAAACTAATAATCTTGGCTTAGTTCTCTGGGTTCACCACACCAAAGCTTCCAAGTCATTTAATGCAGCTTCCCCACAGAAAGAACATGAATGAATTTGTGGTAATGGGAGGTTTGAAGAAAGATCAGGGACCATGTTTGAAACCACAGATCATATCTTTCTTTTGTGATGGGGTCTGCTCTCCAAGTATTGGCAGTTCATGACTAGAGTGGGTTTTTGGGTCTGACTGTTCCTACTTCCCAAATTAACCTAATTGTATTGCCCCCCTGCTAGAAAGTTCCTGGAGGCCTTCAGACTAGAACAGAGAATCTGCACATATGCCCATTTTCAAAAAAAGGGTGCTTTGCAAAAGAAGCTTTGTAACCCTGCAGTCCTCTCTTCTCTGTAGGTCTGAGTGCTGGGAGCAGGGAGGCAGCGATGTGTATAGCTAGGGGAATGCAATCCGGGGTTGAGAAGCATAAAGGAAAAGTGCAGCAGACCTAGGCATCTTGGAGAGATGCTGTTGGAAGTGACAGAGAGCACATAGTGAATTCCCCTAAGGATAAGGCCACCAGTGGAGAGAGTGTTGGTACTCTGGAACACACAAGGCATTGAACCAGCACTCTTGGTTTGGGCATCCAGGGTCAATTCAAGGCTAGAAATCACACACCAGAAAAGCCCCTATGGTCTAGTGTGAGCTCAAACAGAAACCATCAAGATAATGGACCACAGCCAGGACTCACTAAATTAGGAGATGGGTCAGTCAGTAGTTAAGAGCTCAGAATTTTGACTAAGATAGAGGTTTGACTCCAAGCTCTGAAATCTAAGAGACTTAGCAAAGTCTCTTATAACCTAAGATTCCTAACCTGTAAAGTGGGCTAATGTTCAACTGATAAGGTATTCGGAGTACCTCAGTACTTTCTACATCTGTAACAATAACAGCAGTAACAAAACAAGGAATGGAGACTAGTATCTGACAATACGTTAAAGCCTTTCACAGACCCTTCTGATACCAGTTATGAGTAAGTAGGTCAGCTTAGTGTTGAGGGTATGTTTTGAAAGGTGTAATAATTTGGAGAGAGGGGAGAACCCAGGCTACAATCTCGTACCTTGAAAGAATAAGCCACCCCCATCAGAACAGATCTTCCTCAGCTGGGGAGATCTAAAAATGGTTGAGCTAATTCTTTTTATGTTTCCAAGGTCCTTGATAAATCCTAATTAACCCCACCTTGTTCCCTAGGAAGCCTCACCCCAGGGATATGGAATCTCGTTTCTCCCTCATACCCTAAGTTACCGCCTGGGAGCCATGGGCACCATCGCTGGGACTCCACAGGGTTCAGGGTACTCGGTGCCATGCAGCCTCACTGCCAAGCTCTAGTGCAGGCCCCAGGCAACAAAACATGAGCTGCTCCTAAACACTCTAAAGCCCAGAGTGTTCGTATTATATTTGAATTGTGGCTCCAACTAAGTATTAATGGCACACGTTGTATATATTACATGACTTAAGCCCTGTAGTCAAAGTTAATGCATTTGAACACATTGTGGGTTGTTTTTATCATGTGCTCTACTACCAGTCAATGTAAAACGTATAAATACGTTTCTCGCATACAATGTGTTAATATGATAGGGACCAAAGACAAAGCATGGAGTTTGCTCTCAATGTAGCAGCTTTGCTACCCTGTGCTGGGCCACAGAATGCCTTCATTTGGCTCCCTCAGGTCCTTCTGGGAAGTTTGCAGTTTTAAAATAAATAAAATAATCCCTATTTTCCTATGAGATCCTTTCCACAGTACAGCCAGGAACATCACTCCAGTATTGCTCCCTCACTTTTTTTGTGTGTCCCCTTTTCTGAGAGGTCAGCTGACGTTCCCAAAGTGCTTTAGGCCACCTTAAAATTTAGTGGCTGTTACTAGCCAATCAATTTCTGAATGACAGTAGACTTACCACAAAAAGGTGCCATGCTTGTGAGTTAAAAAAAAACAACTCCTCAGTGTTTATAAGCCCACAGGGCATTCCCTGGGGAGGGGGGCATGGGTGATAAAAAGTGGACTGTGGTATGTGTCCAAATCCTAGTGGAGGTGAAGGGTACCAAAACCTCATGCTCTCAGCCCGACCCCAGCCTAGACAAACACCGTGCCCCATCCTGATTCTCGGTGGGGCGGGCGGAAGAAGTTGACACTGTGTGCCCTACCCTGGCTGATGGACCACTCTTCCCAGCACGCATCAGAGTTGTCTTTAGCATGGTTAATGCCAAGACCTATGTCTGGTAAAGAAAAGAGTGGGCCTTCGGGTAAGCAAAAAATGAAAGTCACACCCATCATCTGTCTGGGTATTTATAAAACGCTCTTCCATCAAAGGGATTTTAGACAGTTTAGTGATTCAGGTGGCCATCTCAGGTGACTGCCACCCTAGGTCTCACCTCACAAGGTCCTGAGCAGCTGTTCTGGCCTTAATAAGCATCCCCTACTGAAGCACAAACACCATCTGAACATATTCCTTTGCTTCCTAGTAAAATTATTGAGAAAAAGCTCATAAAGGTTTCCCATTTCTGAGTAGAATCCAGCTTCCTTTCCCTGGCCTTCAGGCCCCATTTGACCCAACTCCTTATTACCTACATGAACTCACCGCTGCCTTTCACACCCTTGCCCTCTGCTCCAGCCACACGGCCCCCTCCCTGGCTCTCCCTCGGACACATCAGGCACGCTCGGAACCTTGCACGTGCTGTTCTTCTCGCCTGCCGCGCTCTCCTACCAGGTAGCTTTCAGGTCATCTTTAAATGCCAGCTTCTCAGCGTGATCGTCTGTTCCACTTTATTTAAAATTTCAACCCCCAACCTCTCCCCTACTCGCTATCCCCCTTTCGTTGCTTTGTTATTTCTTCTTGGCACTTACTACAGACATAGGATATGTTACTACTTTGAGTCATATTTGATTTTTTTTATGTACAAAAGTGTACAGTCATTTCATATGGTTCAACATATCATTTTACTTTGCTACTTTGATTGTTACCCATTTCTGTCCCAGACTTTAAGCTCCACGAGGGCAGGGGTTTTTGTTAATTTGGTTTACTATAAAGCTAGTGTTCAGAATAGCACCTGACACATAGTAGACCCTTAATAAAACTTGACTAATGTCAGTGCAATTTGTTTTGTTTTAAAATATTCCTAAACCTCTGTGCCCCTGGCGAAAACAGTAAAATAACTTTGGTCGACACCAGTCAGTAAGAATGTAATGTGCCAGCAGGAAAGATAGCGGAGACTCTCGGTTGGCTGGCTTGTTTTGCCACATTGCCGTATTCTAGGCCTGGGAGAGCAAATCGGTGCCCCAAATTGTAACCGGGCTTGATGACGCCAACTAATGAGACCGAATTAAAGTCCTTGACTTCGGAAATGGCAGGCCAGACAATAGGCAAGAGAGTACCAAGTCTGCTGCAAACGGGCTATGGGGTTTCTGGTCACCAATCTGGAGTGCATCCAGGGATTATCCACTTGGTTGTTGGTTATGTCCGAAGGCCAAACAGAAGGCGGGCTGTGCATAAACTATCAACCAGTCACAGAACTACAGGGCTTAAGTAACTTTCTTGCTGCCGCTCTGGAATCACACAATGTAGTACGGAGTATTATAAGTTCTGATCAGTTTTCTCCCCTTAGGTGGGAAGAAAAACATCTCCATAATCAGCTAAGCCCCCAATTTTGGAAAGAGGAAGCATTGCTAAATACATTAAATAATATTTACTGGTCTGAAGATGCCCACTTC